ATACTTGGAAGCCTATTGGAAAGCCACACACCCACCCAGCAGCACCCCGCCCAATCCACTGCTGAACCGCACCATGGCTACTGCAGCCCTGGCTGCCAGCCCTGCCCCTGTCTCCAATCTCCAGGTACAGGTGCTCACCTCGCTCAGGAGAAATCTCAGCTTCTGGGGCGGGCTGGAGGCCTCACAGCGGGCCCGGGCAGTGCCCCAGCAGCAGGAACACGCCATGTAGGGGCCCTGCCCATCTACATCCCGCCCAGGGCTTGAACTGGAGCACAGGGAACATGGGGAAGGAAGGAAGAGCTTTATTTTGTAAAAAATGTAGTGAGTGGCAGCTTCTGGTGTCTGTGGTTTTTGATGGGATTGGAGCTGGCTGATGGTGCCTCCCTGGGCCTGATCCCATAAGACTGCATCTGCTGCCTTGGGGGTTTTGGGATATGAGGCCTGATTGGGGACCTTATAAGACAAGTGACTAGAAAGAAAACATGAGGAAGACTGACATATTCATTTGCTGGACTCCACACTCATTTTAAATCCAACAGAGCAGGGGCTTCTGGATCCAGGAAATCCCACAGAGCAGGACCATTAAACCCAGAGAGAATGCCCCTCCCCCAGAGACCTAATCCCAGAAGGCCCCTCAGAAGGGACCCAGGATGAAGCATCTTCTATAAGTTGATGCTGTACCTTCCATCCTTCTCCCAGTTAAACAGATTCCAGGAAAGGCCCTCCTGTGGGTGCCCCGCCCTACCTCAACCTCCTCCTGTCAGAGCCACAGCCAGTCTCTTAGATCACATCATTAAGTATTTGGTTCTAGAGAAAAGCCAGAAGAAACCCATTAAATCATTCTAGACCGTTGCTTTTCAAATTTGTTTTCAGCAACAGAGCCCATTTGTCCACAGAATCTTATGTGGACGCTCAGTATGTAGATAAAGTGTCCATGCTCTGCTTAGAGGGAGCTAGTGGCATGGCGTCCCTTTGCCTCTACTTCACCTCCACGGGGAGCCCTGAAGCCCTTTTGTGCCCTCCCCACTCCACCCCAGATCTCCAGGGAACAGTTTGGAAACTGCTGTTCCAGTCTAATCCCTGTCATACCACCATAGAGAAACTGAGCCACAGAGAAGGGAGTCATCTGCTCGGGTCACACAGCTTGAAGTGGCAGGTGATGGGACTAGAACCCAGGTCTCTTTGCACCCCACCCAGCAGCCTCCGTGGTGGCAGTGGCCATCAGGTCACCTTCATGTGACATTTGGTGATGAGGACATCATCTCCAGTGGGGGATAGAGACCCACCAGCCTTCCCCAGCCTGCAGCTTTGAGACTTTGTTCAGGGCAAGGGAGGAATCCCATCAACCGTGGAGATTCTGTCATCTGACTAGGGAATGGGGGAGAAGTGTGGGGTTCTGGAAGCCTGTGATTAGGGTCTGGTTTGAGCTGAAGGAGCTGTGTTTACTGAGCTTGAGCTGAAATCCCCCCTTGGTATATTTGGAAAACCGGGGCAATGACTAACCCAATCAACCACTAACAAGTGGCCATACTAATGAGCTGTTAATGATGATTTACCCTGAGACAGCATTAATGACATGCGTTGAGTAAGCCATGACTAACTGTTCATGCGCTCTCTACCATGATTACCAGGAGAGTTCACGCCTCCTCATGCCTTATGAAGGTTGAGCGCCCCCTGTCCCAATAGAGGAACAAACGTCCTGAGGTCTGTCCTCTGGTGGGGCTCTAGAGCCCTTTGCCGGGCTACCCATCCCCTAGAGCATCCTCCTTCAGCCAGGCTGGGTGTCTTGGTGCTGTCACTAACCTGCCTTGCTTTGTTGTGTTTCTCTCATCCCTGCCTGATCTGCATGGTGTGTGCCGTCTGTCTGCTAACCAGGGACCCTACCTTGCTTCCGGGGACCAGTCGCTGGAACGGGCCACCGGGGAGCACGCCAATGTGCACGAGTCCCCGGGGGAGCTGGGCCAGCCCCCAGGCCTTTACCCCAGCAGCCACCCACCAGGCCGGGCAGGCACCCTGCGGGCACTGTCCCGCCAAGACACGTTTGATGCCGACACCCCTGGCAACCGAAACTCTGCCTACACGGAGCTGGGAGACTCGTGTGTGGACATGGAGACTGACCCCTCAGAGGGGCCGGGGCTTGGAGACCCGGCAGGGGGCAGCACCCCACCAGCGCGTCAGGGATCCTGGGAGGATGAGGAAGACGACTATGAAGAGGAGCTGACCGACAACCGGAACCGCGGCCGGAATAAGGCCCGCTACTGCGCGGAGGGCGGGGGTTCAGTTCTGGGGCGCAATAAGAATGAGCTGGAGGGCTGGGGGCGGGGCGTCTACATCCGCTGAGAGGCAGCGGACACACAGTGGGAGGAGGGGCTCTGAGCCCAGGGGAGGGGAGGGACAGAGGAGCTCACCACCGGGGATGTATCTTGCCTCTGGGGGCGCTCTCTCCCTTCAGATGCCTTTGCTCAATGTTTGGGGTTTCTTTGGTGGAAGCATCCCAGCTCCTGGGAGTCTCTTAAGCCCCAGCTGTAGGTTTTTACCTACCTGCTGTGGGTGGGTGGGGGGTGCCCACCTTTCTGCAGTGCTCCCTTTTCCCCACCTCAGGGGGCTCTCTCCCCTCACTCTCCCAGAGAAAAGGTGCGCTTCCTTAACTCTTCCTACTCGGGGCTCTAAATGAGGGTCTTAAATGGGGTGGCCCTTTGTTTTCCCAACCTGGAGTATTTGGGAAGGGTAGGGAGCTTTTCCTGGAGAGGGAGACCACAGACTTTCCCATGAGGGTTCTCTTCCTCAAACCCCAGATCCAGGGTCCCTCACCATGACCCCTCTCCCCCCAGCTTCCTGGCAGCATTGTCTGAGCTGAAAGCTACAGCGGAAGCCCCATAGGGAGCTTGTTTTGGGGAGGGGTCTGGGTGGAAGCTGGCAGGCATCAGATGTAGTGCCCTCTGCCTGCCCAGGACCTAGAACCCTGAGGAGTGGGCAACCTGAGATGCTGCTACACACCCCACCTCTTCCATCCTCGGCCTTCACCTGCCCCAGGAATGAGCTTTGCCTACAACATCCCTTGCCTGCTGCCATCAGAAGAGGGGGCCCCTCTGCGTCTGAGCCCCCTATCCTTGTGTCACCTTGGTGTGGAGCCCGTAGAACATTCTGGTCCGCCTCATTTTGAAACCAAATAACTGCTCCTTCACTCTCACTCTAAGGCCCCAGGGGAGAGGCCCTGTGGGTTAGTGCCCAAGAGGCAATCACCCCAGAGGTTGCCTCGGATCTCCCCTGGGGGACCTGGCTGCTGCTGCTCTGTATTTGCCTCTTGTGATCCTGTCGTTTACCCATGTCCACTCCCCTCAGGAGAGGCCTTGGTACCCCCTCTGCCCTGGAGCGTCCCTCTGCCTAGCATCCCCATAGCCCAGCAGCCCTGCCCCTCCCCAGCATCCCAGCTGGGTCAGAGAGAGCCGACTGTGCCAACGAGGACTGGGCCCTGCCTGGCTGCCCACCTCAGGAATGGGCACCTCATGCCTGTCTCGCCACCTCCTGTGCCAATGTTGCCCCACCTCCCCCACCTAGGGGATGGGGTGCAGCTTCCACTTGTTGGTTAGAAGACACTTCTGCCCAACCTTTCCTCTCCCTGTCTGGTGTCCTCTGCCCCCATCTGTCTGTCTGTCTTGTCTGTACTCCCCTAGGAGAAGTATTTTGCCAGATATAAAACCGCCTCCTGTCCTTTGTGGCTGCCTCCCAAGCCTGCTTCTTTGTTCCCACACACAGTTGCCAGCATGTCCTGACATGCAGGGCGAGCAAAGCAGTGGGTGCAGGAATAAGCTGTGCCCCAAGTTGTTGACTCAACAGGAGTGATGGCGCTTTGTTTTGCAGCTCATTGACGCATCACGTTCAAGCCTGACAGCTGGGTGGCCAGTCTCACCTCCCCACTCAGCTCCAAGCCCCAAGCCCCACCCATGTCTGTCCTGTCTCCCCATGAGTAAAGCCAGGGAAAACAGGAAACCAAGGTGGGAAATGGGGTGTCGCAAGTGTTCAGTGGATGAGATCCAGACTCACTGGCACAATGGCCTAAAGTCTTGTGCTTGTTTTTCTGCTTCTGTGGCCTCAGCTGCTCCCCAACACCTCAGGAGGGGGAGGGGCTGAGCTTCCAGCTCCCTCCTCCACTGATGCCCCCACAACTACCCCCCAGCCCCTGCTAACCAGCTTTGGGGGAGGGGCAGAGAATCGGGGACTCCCCCAGTCCCAGCCTGAGAAAAAAATCAAGAGGAAGAAAGTCAGCAGGTGACTTCCAGTTCCTGCCCTCACCAGCTGGCAGGATGTAGGCTCCTGGCGGTTGTTACTGCTATCACCTGTGTCCTGCCTCACACAGCACCCACAAACCGTTTCCGTGCTCTTCTAGTTCTGGTTTCTGGGGTGGTGGACCTGAAGGACTAGAGTTCCTGGGTTCTTCACCTGAATGCTCCTGCCCAAAGTGTGTGTGCGTAGAGGGCAACAGACATCCAGACCCCCCTAGATGAGGGGTTAGCAGAACAAGGAAAGGAACCTGGCAAGCCCACAGGTCAAGTGGCTGGTCCAGGGTCCCCAGGGAGTTGGCAAAGCTAGCTCTGCTGGGACTGGAGCACAGTCTGCCTCCTAGCATGCTACTCTTCCCACTGCCTTTTTTTTGTGTGTGAGGAGATCAGCCCTGAGCTAACATCTGCCAATCCTCCTCTTTTTT